GTGTGTCATGAATATCTTTAGTGACATGCTTTGTTGTTGGTACTACCAGTTCAAAATATCCACTACGAGCAAATTGCTTGCTTTGATTCACATTCAAATAAAGCAACAAAGGACACCAAGGAAATGTAGGTCAGGCAACTTAAATACACAAAGCCACAGGGAAACATAAAGTTCTCCATGAAATGATGTTTTTTCACAGAATAAGCATATAGTAGTGATATTTCTGTCCCATGATTTGGGGGATCCAAGCTGAATCTAGATCAATGGTCCTAGATAGCTTAATTTCTGTGTTCAAGAAGGTTCAGAATGTAGCCTGATTTCTGATAAGGCATGTTCACAACAATGCCAGGAAAAGCTGAAAGAAATGGCTAACTGCCACCATTTCCTCACAAAAATGTGTATAGGATTTTCAGGCAGTATATGCTTATGTCATTGACCCCAAAAGAGCTCACTTTTAAGTACACACACACACACACACACACTTACTTCTATGCTTCCTTAAAAACAAGTAGTACTGAATCTAAAGAGCATTAGTCACAGCAACTAGAAATAAAATATTGAAGAATTTTTTAAGAACTGTACTGCTGAGTAATCATGCAGTGGAATGCTACATAGGTATCTAGAATTTTCCAAAAGAAAATTGTTCTGTAGTTCCTGGCCAAATAATGCTTTACAATGAGATGAAAACTGGCTGTCTATGCTATTTGGCTGTCAAATAACTATGCTACCTACTTGTTGGAAGCCAAAGGAACAACTAATAAGTCACCCCAGAGTTCTCATTTGTGGCACATATGGACAGGTCCAAATTATCCTACTTTGGACACTATTATTCAAAGATCCAGCACTCTGGAGAAGGTTCTAGTGCTGGAAAAGACGGATGGAAAGAGAAGACCAGCAGCAAAATGAATGGATTTGGTTATAATGGCAATGAGTGTACCGCTGGGAGGCCTAAAGGTACAAGTTAGATATAGATTGTCATGGAGAAAGTGATAACTATGAGTCAAAAATGACTTGATGGCATGTAATCAATCAGTTTAGTAGGACCTTTGAGAATTTTACATCACATTCTTAATCTCTTAAGGAAGAAAGATTTCCTCACTTCTCTAGACATTTCTTCCCATTGTCTTTCACATCTTTCTTACTCCACAACCTCTTGTATTGTCGTCTGTTAGCTATTGTTCCCTGGGAACAAGGAACAAGAAGTTTTGTTTGAATCTATTCAGATTCATGTGTTAAGAAGAAACAGCAAGAAAGAATAATCTGCATACAAGCTTTATCTTAAAGGTCCTTTGGGTCTAATCTATTTCTTCTCTAACACCCTTTGCAAGGGATAGCAACCAACTGCATAAAGATTGCTTTCTTGTAAGTGTTTACAGTTTTCTAAGTGCAAGATTGACAATTGTGAGACACTAACATCTTCACCTTTTTTTGCTCTGGTTTGAGTCATTAGATTGTCTAACTATGTCTAACTCAGAGGTAGGTTGCCTGTTACTCTCTGAGCAGTAATATTACATGTTAGCTATCTTTTGAATAGGATGAATTATCCATAACTAATCCAATTCTCATTATATGAGAAGTATTTCTTCTGCAGAAGCAAATCATATTACCATATTGATAAATGAAAACTAACCCTTCATGGAAAAGTTCCAATTGCTTTGTTTCAAGAGTTTTAAAGATGCATAATAATATATTCCCTCCTAAGAAAGGAAATTACATTATCAGTTTTAGATGGGACATGTTTGCAGGTAGGGAAAACTGTACCTCAGAGGTGCAGTTGTTTTTGGTGAAATAGAACCCTCCCCAGTTTTCTGACAGGAATTCACACTTATAAATAACATTGTGAAAAGTGGTCCAGTTTTATTAGCAATACTAATTATCAATATTAATTGGAATATTTTTTTAGTTCAAGATGGGGTACCTGACCTTTTTTTGGTTTTTCCCCCCACAACAACTGTGACATGAGCTGGGCTGAAAAAGATTTCTCAAAATCATCTACCACTCCTGCATATATAAACACAGTCAAAAGTGTTGGATTCATTAATTGCATATGACCAAGTTGTTGTCAATTGTTAGTGCCCATGTAGATTAGTATTAGAAAAGAATTGGCACCCCTCCCCTTTGTCTCAAAGAATCCCAATTTACCATGAAATATACTGAAACTGATACTGTAATATCCACCATTCTTTAGTCCATAATCCACAAAGCAGATACTTTGATGCATGACTTAACAAACATCACCGAAGTGGAGGGGTACTAATATTTTTGGATGCATCTGTACATGTTGAAAAGGCTCCCCTGATTTTATTTTCACATTTACAGGGTTTTATTTAAACAAAGCTGACTCTTCCTCCCATTTTTTTCCAATGAGAACAGAATAGATTGTTCTACCTCTATTATCACTGTCTTGTGTTCCTCCCATTCTAGAAGTATGAGAGAGGCTTTTTTAAAACAAGAAGTGTGCTTTTTAAATGTTCTCAATGTTTAGTATCAAAAATGAGTACTGCTGAAATAAATATAATTAGAGCAAAATGTTGCACAATTAAATGGCCAAGGGAAGGATGCTACTCTTGTGTATTGATGATTCTACTAAACTGGGAACCCCATTTCATTTAATGAATCTGGCTGACCCTAAAAGCTGTGATAATATGCCACGTTAAGTCTAGATTATCCAAATTCTGTAGATTGTGGTCCCTGGAAATTATTTTTTAAAAATGTGAACAGTAAATATTTACATCTCCTCCATATTAAAGCACATTTACTGCCATATTTTGTAGAGTTTGATATATTATCCCATGCACACATGAACACACATATCCAAAAATAAGAAGCACTGCCTTTATTAATGCAAGGTTGATAACAAAACATTCTGAAAACCACTGACCTTGAAAAGAGTTTCACAGTAGTCCAGTGAAATGCCACAGTTGAAAATTGAAACTAGTAATGCGGATTAAACAACCAAACTATTGTAAACAGATATGCTAGCCTGTTTGTCCATTTTGTTGTAGAAGAACAATGGATTTTTAAAAAGACCATCTGTGGCGTTCAAAACATCTGTAAAGAAAACTACGTCAGAGAAAGAGATGTGTCTTTAAAGCTGTTGACATGGCTATATTCCCAACCAAACAACGTGGATTTTGCAGGCATGCATGTATTCCGCTCAAGATGTATTTGCTAAATCTGTCAGATGTACAAGTTTACAAATATATATTAGTTTATATTTTTGCTTTTCCGCATTACAAATGTGTAGTTAAATAATCATTTGGCTTTAAAGCATGGTCCTATAGATTTATGCTTCAGTTTTTACTTATATTTTTTTCATTTTCCAAAGTATTTAAATGTCTTCCATGAAATATTTCATATATCTGTGAATGCATTTTAAAAGTCAAATCAGATACAGTATTCGGTTAAGGAAGTCTTTTTCTATGTAAGGTGATAGTACCAACAGGGATAATTATATTTCTGTTTGTAGCTGAATTATTAACTACAGTTACTACAATAGATGGTGTTCTAGACTGTACCATCATGTTTCAGTTCATGCAAATTTTTCAGATTTAAATTGGCTTTGGCTTAGAAACATAATATAGAAATAAATTCCATCATGATAACAGCACATACATTGTACAAACAGCACTAGAAAGGCACAAAATTTCTGTATACATTTACTTGCAATGTTCTTCCCTGTAAACTCATATCAGTTTTGCAGTCCTTATTTAATTCCACAGAGTAATTGATTGTATTAAATTAATATACACAAAACAACCATACATTTATTTGTAAAGTGGGATCATAGCCATCTCATTTATACAAGGCTTACATAACAATTTATGAAAAGCCTTTTTTAAATCTCTAAGGATTTGATGTTGAGAATTTCACAATAAATGTAAGATCCTATACTGAATAGGCTGAAACTGTAAACAGATTTATTTCAAATGTTTATACAATTAATAATATAAAAATAACTCCTTAAGTTGTTCTATTCCTTCTTGTGTAAAAATAAATATCCTAAATAGAAATTTTCTTACTATATTTTCAAATGTTTTTAGGACAGAATATTATAATTGTCAATATATTATCAACTCAAGGTAATTGTGCAATTAGGATTGTATGCTTTTTCTAAATAAAAAGTCTTAACTAGTCATATAACTGTTGCAGTGAGGTAGAGGTATTAAGCTTCTTTTGTTTTAAGTTGGCATGAGCTAGATTTATAATTTCATTACATATTCTACACACAGTAAATGCATAAATATATTTAATAGAGGCTTTTAATTTTTTATAAAATAAATTAGCCTTCTGTTGGCTGCTAAAAGCCAAGTGTATTCCTTTTTTCCAATTTATTTTTAAAAACTTAATGGAAAAGTATCAGTCTGAAGTTTTAGATTGTAAACAAAAATATAGTTTTACTACAGTTGCCTTCTTTTCAATTTCATAAATCAGATCAGCTGAAAAATAGATTGATATAAAATGGGACCTTGTTCAATTATTGTACAACAAATATTTCCAAACCTAATAAATGGCACATCATTAGGAGAGGGGAGCTATTACAAATGAGTTTGTTTAAATCTACTTTAATGGACGATAGGACGCCAAGAAATGATAAAAATATTTTTGTTCCCACAAGAGGACATTTAAAAGATTTTGAGAACAGCATGCATGAATAAAATATATTTTTGTTTTGAAATAAATTATCTTGTATATAATGTTAATTCTTAATTCTATCAGTGCTGACTCAAAAGTCTGTCCACTGATTTCAGCAGGATTTTTTCTCAAACACTGCAGGACTGTTGCCTTACTAAACTGATTTTCATGGAAATTTGCACCTAAATCTTATCTTTTGTTGGAAAAAAACAACAACTCCCACCTAATGGATAAAATTCAGATGAAACTTCAACAATTTACATTTAATAAATGAGATTTGGTTTAAAAAAAACTGTCTTATCAAATGCTGGAAAGCAACAACTATCAAGTTAAAAACATAATCCTATGAATAACCTTTCCTTTTTCCTCCTTAGATTAGATTTAAATTGAAACACACTCAAAAGTACAAAGCAAAATGTGTTTTTGTGAATGCGAGATCTACCCAAGTCTAATTAAATGTTGGTATTACTCGATTTCAGTGAGGTAAGTGACCAAAAAACAATTCTGAAATTGGTCTATGTTTTGATGCAGTTTCATTCTGTTCTTCCTCCAGGGCCTGAAACAAGGAAGAAGAAGAAGAAGAAAAAGCCCTTTGAGACTTCAACTTCCTCCTAGGGGCTGTGGCTATGTTAAGAAATTTATTGATGGGAGCCGGTTTCTTCATGCCTTTTGTCAGTTCATAGAAGGCAATATCGTCAGATAAAAGCCCCAGGACAGTGCTGGTGGAACTCAAGATAGAAGCAGCCACTTTTATGTTCTTCTTGGTGGAAGGGTTCTGTCCGGGGTTGTTCTGAAGACCAGGGTCATTTAAGAGACGTCTGACTTTAAAAGAAGAGCCTTCTTTTAAATACTGGAATGGTTTCTTCCCACTGTAGTCTCTTAAATTGACTTTGGCATTGTAAACTTTGACCAGCTGGGCAATAACTTCTTCCTGCCCATGGATAGCAGCAATATGGAGTGGAGTATAACCCCCGAAGGACTTAGCATTTACATCAAGGTGAATGCCTCCTTTCTCAGTCATTTCTATGACTTTGCTCAGCGTTCTGCAATTTCCACTTTTAGCTGCCCAGTGGAGAACTGTGAAGCCGCTCATGAAATCTCTTTTGCTGGCTAGGTTCAAGTCACTGAGGAGCAAGCCATGAAGTTGCTGGGACCACTGGCCGGCTGTGGCATTCACCACCCACTGGTGCTCAGCAGATTCCAAGGACCCATTGGCCATGCCGTCCACCTCCTCACCCACCTTTAGTGGTTTTGACCCCTTCCTCGGGGATTTGGGCCCCATTTCATTCAGCTGCCGCCTCTTAGTCCGAGGGGAGGTAGACGGCAGGATGGCAGCTCGATCCACTTGGAGACCATCTTGGACTGGGATCCTGTCTTGCTCAGGGCTCAACCCCTCCGATCTCTTAGCGTTGCTGGGAGGGGGCACCGAGCGGACCGGCAGCATGCAGGGCTTTGGGGAGGCACCTCTGGGGGCCAAAGGGTCTTTGACACGGGGAACTTTGAGGATTTCCGAGCCTCCCCTTTGAAAGAAGCTCTTCAACTGGATCACAGGGAGAGTCCGATGCGCCTCAGGGTCCTCCTCCTCCTCTCCAGGCGAGCTCCGAGGCGCCACCAAGCCGGCAGGGCAAGCGGACGCTCCAGAATCGGCGCCTTCTGTTTCCTCATCAGACAGGTCCCCGAAGGCGATCGATCTCGGTTCCGCATCGGAGGAATCCGGGACCAACTGGTGCCTTTTTTTGAGCACGACCAACTTGATCCCCTCCGAGACCTGCACGACCGCCACGCTCTCGACCAAGTAGATGAAGCGCTGGCGGAGAGCAGCTCGCACCTCCGGCGAAGCCTCGGGCACGTCCAACAGCGGCTTGAAGTGGCCGAGCAGCAGCGACTTGCGCACCTTGCCGCCGTGTTTCCGAAGGAAGCCCACCAGGGCGGCTTGATTCAAGAATTCAGCCATGCCCGGTACGGCCAGCTGAGGGGATACGGAAAGGGCGGACGACGGGCGTGGGAGCCGCGGAGAAAGAGAGAGAGAGAGAGACGGTGACCGCTCCCCGGGAGGCTCCAGCCACCTGCCGCCGCTTCCTCGGCTGTGGAGGAATCTCTCTGGCGCCCTCCTTTCCAGCTGGCCGAGAACGCACGAGGTAAAGTGCGGGACGAACACCGCCCGCCGCGCAGCCGGCTGGGATTTGTAGTGAGCAACACACCTGAGTTCGAACGGCGCGTTTTTTTTTCTGAAACCCGAGGCGGCTCCTCAGGCGCAGCCGCAGATCGTCCTGCCTCCGCTTTGCCTTCACGAGCAACAGGCGGCTCCCGCCTCCCGTCCCACCACGTGCGTCAAACTAAGACGAGAAGCGCCCCCCCCCAATTCCTTGCTTTGGGAAGAACAAACAAACCCCCCTCCAAAAAGCAGGGGAGCGTTTCTGTGCTTTTGCAGCTCCCACCCCCCCGAGATGCGCGCAGCCGTCTTGGTATGGCCCAGGTAAATCAATTGCTCAGTGTGGCAAAGAGGCCTGGGCAGCAAAATAGCTGGCAGCTAGTTATTTTGAAGCACTCCCAGGCACTCTTTTACGCCTTTTAATATATGGCACTGCGTGGGCTTGGCAGGAGGAATCGTTCTGTTGACATAGAAATATGCTCTGGAAGATAGTGTTGGTCTGCAGCTCTCTGCAGTGTCAGACAGTGCCAGCCTCCTAGAAAGGAGCATATAGGTGTGAATATAATACAGAAACGCCCTTTCTGCTGGTGCCATACATTCCCACCCTTCTCCCATCACTTTGCCTCTGTCTAAAGCAAGAATGGGCTTTGGGGAGCCCACTTGGTGCCCTTCTCCAATTGATGCTGTCTAATAGAAGAGAATATATGTGGTTCAGGGTTGACCTGTGTCTCAGTGCTTGCTTGCTTGCTTGCTTGCTTGCAGACGTTTCATTACCTGGCTAGGTAACATCATTAGTGCTGGTGATTTGCTCCCTTTATACAGTATACAGTCACTTGAGCATGGTCTTCTTCGTAGTTCTTGAGCCACAGTGGAGCAGTGGTTTTAGAGTGCAGTACTGCAGGCTACTTTTGCTGACTGCTGGACGCCTGCAATTTGGCAGTTCAAATCTCACCAAGCTCAAGGTTCATTCAGCCTTCCATCCTTCTGAGGTCGGTAAAATGAGCACCCAGATTGTTGAGGGGGGGCAGTATGCTGACTCTGTAAACTGCTCAGAGAGGGCTATAAAGTGACATATAAGTCTAAGTGCTATTGCTATTAGGATATTGTTTTCTGATTCTTTGGCATTCATTCCTGCTTATCTGGCTGGAGAGGAATGTGTTCTGGGCTTTTTGTTTCCTTTTTAGCTTTCTTATTGTCTGTTTTGAATTGTTTGTAAATGTGGTTTATCTCTATGTGTCTATTGATGGCTGATGTGTCTGAGTGCCAGGTTTAAAGGAATTCCCTCATGTTTATGGATTTAGCTTGGTCTAGGATATTGAGTTTCCCAGTTGACACTAAGATTGAGTCTGTCCCCATATTGTGAAATTAAGGAGTTTTCATTGTGTCTTCTGACTGTTGGTTGATATTCATGGATGTGTTCTGCTAGCCTTCTGCCTGCCTGCCTGCCTGCCTGCCCTACATAGGTAGTGGCTGTTACAGTGTGTTGTAGATTACTCTTGCTCCTCCCCCCCCCCCACCAGGCCCACTGAGTCTTACTTAAGAAGTTTTGGAGGGCTTTAGTTGGATTGTGTGCTATGGTGATGCTACATGCTTGTAATAGTGAGTGCTTATTTCTGAGATATTTTTTATGTGTGTCAGTGTTGTCCTTCATAGCTTGAGATGCTTGCTGAAGTGGGTTGAATGGTTAGGCACTTTTTTTTAGATAAAGTTGCCTGGATATCCATTTTGTGGAAGATGCTGCTCTGTTCCCTTTTTCTGGTGTTTTAGATTGCTGGCGTGCGTTTGTGCTCATCTGAATAATGTTCTTACATAACTCTTCTTGGTTGTTACTTTGACAGTGGAGTGCTTGGATAGTGTGGGTGGGTTTTATTGATAGAGCTGTATTTTTAATGTGCTACCATTTCCTACGCTGCTGAGAATATCCAGGAAAGATAGTGTGTTGCTGTTGCGTAATTCCCTAATGGAATTTATTCTTTCTGATTGATGTTGCTGATTGTTTCATGTGTCTTCTCTTGTTTCTTTTTTATTATGACGAAGGTGTCATCCACATACTGTATCCATATTTTTGATTGCATGTATGGCACTGCTATGGTAATATGTGACCATCAATGGAAGCAATATGCCTCCATCTCATAATTGGGTAGACCAGGTTGCCCTGATAGACCGGTCCCACCGGAGAAAAAACACTTATGTATGGCAGTGCTATATTTCTAGATGCTGCATTAGAGTCTCTGCTATGAGTCCTGCGAGTGGTGATCCCATGGATGTTCCTTTGATGTATTGGTATATTTGACCATCCAACTGAAAGTAGATAGGCAGAAGTTGAAGAGATCTATAATTCTGGGTATTTTGGTCTTAATGTATTTGGTAAGGTAAGATGTGTTGTGTAGTACTGCTGCTATGGATTCTTTCACTAGTTATGAGTTTATGGATTTAAATTGTGGGGTGACATCAAATAAAATTATAATCTTACCTTCTCTTATTGAGTCTGATTTTCTGGACCAACATAATGGGAAGTTGTTAGAGTATTTGCTCCCCTCTGTAAGATGTCCAAGCTTTTTTCAAATTTATTTAGCTATGTTGTATGTTGGGGTTCCTGGTAATGATGTTAAAGAGATAGGTTGGACTTTTATATTTTGGGGCATCCATAGAAGCATGGGAGGATGGGACTACTGCTTTTCATCCACTCTCTTCTTCTTTTCTGATTTGGCCTGATTTGTTAACAGGGTTGATCAGGTTGTCTACTTTCTGTATTAGGTTGTGTTACAGGGATGTAGGTTTCTTTGTTTTCCAGTAATTCTTTGGCTTTTTGTATATATAGTGACATATCCATGATCATTGTGGTACATTCTTTAACTGCTAGGAGAGGGATGATGGTTTGATCTTTCTATAAGTTTTTGTGGGCTGTGCTGTCCTCTGATTTGGTTCTTATTCTTTGTTCTTCTGATCTGTGATGCGATTGTCTGTGTTATGTTTCCTTGGGTCTCTATGGCAAGTCCAGTGATTTCAAATGCTGCTTCTAAGGCTGCAAAGTATTCTAACTAATTAGCATCATGTAATTACAGTGTAGTTTCTGGAAGATATCACATTCTGGGGGAAATTCTTTGTGAATTTTCTTTTTTAAGAATTTTGAGAATATTGTGACTGCTGTCTTTAAGAAATAATTAAGTAGAAAGCTAGTGTGTTCCAAAGCAAAGTACCAGATATATTAAAGTCCAGCATGGTGGAAAATACCTGGAAGAGCTATGGCATATCTAGGCAGCCATTTTGGGAATAGGAAAAAATCTCCCATGACAGCCTTTTGGTGACTGCATCTGTCATATGGTCTTAAAATTCCAAATGTGCCCACTGATGAAAATAATGCAAGGCAGTGAAATGAGATAATGCAGATTCAGAGGCCAATTATATTGCCTTATAGTAGGCATACCTCTATGCCATTGTAAGGGTGTGAGAAAGAATTAAGGGTCTGAGGCAATTCATATGGCCATGAATGTTCCCATCAATAAGCAAATGTCAAACAACTGATGTCTTTAGATATAAGCACAACATTTTTTTAAAAAATGTATTTTATAAATATTATTAATCCATTTTCAAACCAACTTACATAAAATCACAGATTTGCACTTTCTATTGAATTATAGTTTTGTTAGTGATTAAAGAGCCACGGTGGCACAGTGGTTAGAATGCAGTACTGCAGGCTACTTCTGCTGACTGCCAGTTGCCTACAATTTGGCAGATCAAATCTCACTAGGCTTAATGTTGACTCAGCCTTCCATCCTTTTGAGGTGGGTAAAATGAGGGCCCAGATTGTTGGGGGCAATATGCTGACTCTGTAAACTGCTTAGAGAGGGCTGTAAAAGCACGGTGAAGTGGTATATAAGTCTAAATGCTATTGCTATTAGTGTTTAAAGTGCTGATCTAGAAACTAGAAGACTGGTGAGTTCTAGTACTGCCTTAGGCATGAACTTTGGGTAGGTGACTTTGGGCCAGTCATTCTTTCTCAGCCCAACTCACCTCACAGGGTAGTTGTGGGGGAAATGGGAAGAAAAAGGAGTATTTGGTATATTCACCACCTTGAGCTACTTGTACAGTAATAAAGGTGGGATTTCAGATCTAATAAATAAATATACTAACCACTTGGAATTTAACATGTTCAAAACAGGGATATGAACTAGCAAATCCTTGAAATAAATTCAGAACTCATAATGGCTGTTCTAAGAGACCACTTGCACTGATATTTTTCTGTTCATCTGAATCCTATAGGAGGTATTAAAAATCATCATCTGAAGGTGGTGATGGATGAGGAAATACAATGAAAATGTAATCCAGCTAAAAATACTCTAAAAGCAAATACAAACTGAGCAAAGTTGCACTTAAAAATATGCACAATAAAATTGAGGCCTCTGCCTTAGTTTCTGTTGTTTTTATGGAGCCAAATTTTGTTAGCTTCAGTAGGAAAGACCACAGTATGAACAAATGTGTTCTTTAAAGGCAAGACAGCAAAGAATACATACGGCAAAACTGCCTTGGCTGGTAAAATGTTTGCTTGATTTATTTCTCCCAGGATTTCCTAAAGTAATTAATTATTTTTGTTCCCAGTTATTATGCCAAAAAACCACAGCTTTCAGAACAATTCCTGAAGCTTAGAAAATGAAGTTCCTTTTATCCTTAAGGTGTCCTTAAGAAGTATCTGCTTAAGCTGCAGTTTTAAGAAACGTCTAGCATGCCTATTTATTTGGAAGAACATTTATACCAGGAATCTGCACCCTTTGAGGTTGAAGGACACATTTTGAATTTTGGGAGCATTTTATGGGCACAAAATTGCTGCCATA